ACGAACTTGGATCTCAAACAAGTTCAATAAATATGTTAACTTTACACCGGTGCTTTGGCTGCCATCTATCAGGCATGAGGGTTTAGTCGTTTCTAAATTCTGAAATAAACCGATTATATTAAATTAATCGACAAGTTAACTTAGATCTCAACAAAGTCGAGATGTATATTTATCTAAATTTATCTTACACCTGCGTAGTGGATGTTATCATTTTAGGTATGTGATCGTTTCAGCGGATGAATCGGTTTTCCATGGCTGTCGGCGATTTTCCTGAAAAAAATCTTTGTCCACGATTGTCCGTGTGTTTTCGAAAAAAAAATCAGGAGCAAGCCTCTGGTTAAATAGGTAATGAGAATCTAAGTTAAGATCTTTGTCTATTTCAGGAGTAAAAATATCAACAAGCTACTTGAAATATCAACAAAAAAGACTAAAACTATCAAGTAAAAAGCCTACGGACTTAGCTCTCTACTTTTCATTGCAACTGTCCCGTCTTTCCATAGATTTGAATGCAGTTTTTTTTAATAAATTTTTCAAACGCGTTAGATGGACTTTTGAGTTGGTTTAAACCTAAATAATATCAGAAATAAATTAAATCTCTGCAAACGCGATGAATTTAAATATCTTTAAAAATTTTTAGTACTAAAATGTTTTTTTAATTCCATTGAGAAGAACTACAGTGTGCAAATGAGATAAACAATAAAGTTGGGAATGACATTAAACTCACAGTTAAGGTAGGTCAAACATAAAATAGCTACGAAAAAAACTCCAAGAACTTTACTTACCCCGTAATGATGTGACCAAAAAAAAGCCATAAACGCCTTTGAAAATTTAGGTAAAATTTGATCAACATCACAAAATACGGGAGACTTTGGAATGAAAATATATCATGTAGTTCTTTCTTTGGCGTCATGCCATTGGGAAATGTCCTAAATGACTAGAGCAAGTTAGAAGACCTAGCAATACATGTAAAACTACATAATGGTAAATTTTTTTGTGACACAAATTAAAATTTTTTCAAAGGCTTTCACTTAGTAATGTAATTTAGAATTTACTGATGTCCAAACCCTTTCAAATTCCCACAGCCACCGCGCATGCGTGAAATTTCATAATTTTTCTTACGTTTCGTGTTTATTAAAGTTAGTTTGCGGGAATTATGTGTTTATTAACATATTTAAAAGCGACTAATTAATAATTTCACATTATTACAGCCACTGCGCAGTTACAAATATAGCTTATTTCCAAAGTTTAGCGGAGATCCAATCTCATTTTCTTTACTTATCGGTTGATTACCTAATTTATAAAACGACTAGAGTGACGCGAAATGATTACAATCAATGCGCAGGTGTAATCTAACATATTTCTCGACTTTGTTCGAGACTCCAGTAAGTTTGCGACATTTTTCTGTTAATTGCCTAATTCAGAAACGACTGAAGCCTCCTATTTGCAGGGAATTTTTGCAGGCTTTGTGCACGTGAATAATCGAAATATTTTAGAAATATCAAAAGGTTAACTACAAAAGTCTATGCAATTTGTTCCTTTTTCCTCTTTTAATCGAAATGACTTTGTTCTTATATATATGACTAATTTTTTCAACCTCGTTTTCTATTAAGGACTTTCGAGTTGGCTGACACAAAAATAACATCATAAATGAAGTTATAGTCACCAAAATCGCAATATATTTAAATATCATTGCAAAATTATTTAAATAGAACAATTGTGATTTTTATACTACATTCAGAGAAACTATAATCCAGTATGCAAATAATATTAACAAAAAAGTTTAAACTTCCGTTAAACTTACAGTTTACGTAAGGCCATTAGAAAAGAGTTACTACTAAAAATTTCTGTGAAGATTATTGCTCCAGCAAAAATGTGACAAAATAACGAAAAACTTTCCCCGAAATTTAGGTTTAATTGCAAATATCACAAAATGGACTGTGGTATGAAGGACATATCTGGTGGTCGTTTTTTTAATTTCATGTCATTGTTAAATGTCCTGAGAATGACTATAGATCAAGTTAGTGGTCCTAGTAACTTTATAACACAATATAATAGATAGCTTTTATGCGAGACAAAAAATCGACGTGGGTTTTATAGGCTTGCACAGTAATTTTATAATGATATAATACTATAGTAGAAACGACTGATTTCCCAAGCCTGAAATATCCACAGCCACTGCGCAAGTGAATATTTTTTCATTTATCTTTAATTTCGTGCAGATCAGGGTTGGTTTTTGGTAGTTATGGGTTATAATTATCATATTAAAAAACGACTAAACCATCATATCTGAAATTATCACAGCCACTGCGCAGGTGCAAAATCAACTTGGTAATTAATTTACTTAACACTTGAAAATAAGTTACTGTCTCGACTTAAGTTTCCCCACTTAAAATTATCATCGTATCTTGTCTAGAAAAGATTCGAAATTTCAATTTTTAATCCTCGGCAAATGAAACACAAAAAGAGTCTCAAGCTTCTCCGAGAAGTAAAAACTGGTCTCAGACTGCAAGCGTCCGAGATGCAAGCGATCTGCAGATGTTTGACGGCTCTCTGTTCAAGTCAAAAACATTACGAACGTCAACCAGTCTTTTTTGCCTAATACACAACGTTAATGTTTCTATCTTTACTTTTATGTACGATCATATACTTTACTTTACTTGAACGCGGGATCATCAATGTACAACCTGCCATTTGAAAACTCGGTGTGGCTAACGGTTGTCGGCCTGAGGCTCTGAGCTCAAAATTCTTCTTATACTCCCAACGAAGAACAGGTTTTTAAGACAAAACAGACATAATTTTCCGCAGCATTTTAGCATTTGGGCATCTAGGCTACCAGGCCCGCTCTTGTGGCCCGTGTCTCATGATTATATTAAGAAAATCGTGTTTTTTTCTGAGATTTTCTCATGTGCTGTCATTTTCTCCAAACACTGCAGCAATTAAATACAGGTTCGCTTTCAAGATTTCACTTAGTATTTCTATCAAATCAGGTCATGGATTTTAAAAATATAAAATAACAAGATGTAAGCTTACGATGAAAGAAAATAATGATGAATACGTGATAACCTCTATCTAATACTTTAATGAATTTATATTCAACAACTTTAATCGAATGATCAAATTCAACAATTTCAATCGAATGGTCAAAGTTAAGATGTCGGCAAAGGATCAATGGGGTCGCGTAATTGGTGTCTGTTTGTCTATTCTCTATATAATTTGCTCGTTCCCAGTATGAAGTTATAAATTGTGAAATTGTCATGAAGATATTTAGCAAATTTAATTTATTCGTCATTATGGGGAACATGGTGAAAATGAACAATCAGTAAACAAATTTGGATGTTAAAAAAATCAGATTTTATATAATATTCTATTTGATAACTCTAAATATATATTATGTAAGCAAACTACTATGTAAATGTAGTAGAAGGAGGAAAAATTACAGATTTAGCACTCACTTCTTCTTCGTTCGAGTCTATAAATAGATCACCACGGAGCCAATTGCATGAACAGCAACGAAAAAATTCTTGACCTTGATGGGTATTTTTTATCGAAACAAAATTGATAGATTAAGAGATTACCAATCATAATTAAAGCGTGATGAGTGCTCGCTCATTGCACAATTGATCAAATTGCACAAATATTTTTCTTATTAAGTTCTAGGTTGTCTTGTGAAGAATAATCGTGGATTTAAAAGGACGGCCGGCAAGTGGCACAACATACTATGGGGCAGATGATAGACATGCTCACTAGATTTAATATAGAAATTTACTTATATGTACTGATCTGAAGGATATTAATAATTTAAACCATTTGCAAGGCTTAGATAAAATTCAACAATAAATCGATCGATAAATTATCTAAATTACATAATAGTTAAAAAATAAATAATTTCGGAAATAATCTAAAATTTTCATTTAACGATGAATGAGCTTTATCAGAAAAGATGGTAATCGACGGGTATTTCAAAAGATTCTCTTTCGGCGCTTATTTCGCTCCGGCAACCGGAACCTAAAGCGGACATAGAGCTTCTAATTTACACCGCAAAAAGAATTTGGGGCGACCCTGAGCCAGCGGCTGACAGGCATCCAAATTTTGATAGGGACATACTATGGGGCATATAATAGACATGCTCACTTTATTTAATATAGAAATTTACTTACGGTGTACTGATCTGAAGGACATTAAGAATTTGAACCATTTGCAACGCTTAGATAAAATTCAACAATAAATCGATCGATAAATTATTTAAATTACATAATAGTTACAAATAAATAATTTCGGAGATAATCTAAAATTTTCATTTAACGATGAATGAGCTTTATCAGAAAAGATGGTAAAACCAAGAAAAAGCGCTGCGTAAGCATCCTATGTGTTTTGTCAATGCTGATGTAAAAATTTTAATTTTTAGCGAATTTTCTCATTTATAAAAAAGGCGCTATAGTGCTCGTCATGTCCGTCCATCCGTGACTGTCCGCCACGAACGGACGCGAAAATGCACTCTGTCACTCACCACAGTAATTGCTGATCTAATTCTTTTTATTATACATACTACATCTGGTGCAGAGAAAGATTTGAGATTCTTGCCTTATTTAAGGCAAGAATCTCAAGCGTCTGCAGTCGTATAAATATGCACGCAGCTACTGAGAGACGGCAGTCGCGGTGTTGTCGGCGCTCTGAAGGAACTCTGAAGCTACTCTGCTGCTCTCTGAATAAGCCCTGATACTCTGCTGCGCTCTGAATAAGCTCTGATACTCTGCTGCTTTCTGAATAAGCTCTGATACTCTGCTGCGCTCTGAAGAAGCTCTGTGGCTACTCTGCCAAGCTCTGCAGAAGCTCTGAAGCTACTCTGAAGAAGCTCTGAAGCTACTCTGCTGCGCTCTGAATAAGCTCTGATACTCTGCTGCGCTCTGAAGAAGCTCTGTGACTACTCTGCCAAGCTCTGCAGAAGCTCTGAAGCTGCTCTGCTGCGCTCTGAAGAAGCTCTGCTGCGCTCTGAAGAAGCTCTGAAGCTGCTCTGAAGAAGCTCTGAAGCTGCTCTGAAGAAGCTCTGCTCAGCGGCAACATGGCTAAGGCGCTCTGGGCTCTCACGGGGCTGCTGGCCCTGCCGCTCATCTGCGCTCAGGACCTCGGTGAGGCCTGCGTGTCATTCAGCTTCATGCATGCGTGTCATTCAGCTTCATGCATGCGTGTCATTCAGCTTCCTGCATGGGTGTCATTCAGCTTCATGCATGCGTGTCATNAGCTTCATGCATGAAAGTGTCATTCAGCTTCATGCATGAAAGAAACATTCAGCTTCATTCAGGAAAGTGTCATTCAGCTTCATGCATGAAAGTCATTCAGCTTTATTCATGAAAGTAAATAAATACCATGGCTAGCAATATCTCGGAACATGAAGCCGGGAACATTTACTCATGACATTTTTGCTTTAAATAACTAATATGAGCTATTATTTATACTTAATTAAGAGCTCTTATTTGTTAATTATCGCCAATTATACACTCCCAGAATTTGATTGCATCATAGCAAAACATTAGTCTATTACATCTCAAATTTTTCAAATGCAATATATGAACCGTATTGCAAAGTGTTTAACGAACGATTCCATCATGACGAATGACATTATATGCTCATTACGGTATCGATAGGATCACTTTATTTCCCGTATGATTCGAATTGTACCTTAAGTCTTAGTAATTGTACCTAAAGTCTAAAGTACCTACCCTAGTTCAATGAGTTTTAAATGTTTTCCAAATGAACCAGTTTTGAAATTTGGGGCTTCGCGTCGTGCATGGTAGTAATTTTGCAAGCATGCAGCTGTGTTTGAGATGGATTTGGATTAGATAACAGGCAGCTAAGCGGCTGAAGTGGATTGACTGAATAGTCTAACATAGAACTATTTGTAGAACGTTCACGAATGTGCCACATACGAAAGCTGATTCGTTGGTGTCAAGACTGGCAATGGCGATCGTACCGGCGATATTTTGTGGCCCGATTGCCTTATAAAATTAATTCCAATCTAGCACCGAAATAATCAACCAAGATCGAAAGTTTGATGAAAGTTTTATTATCGTGAGCTTTATCAATTTGTAAGTTCATGATCTACTTCTCGCCCAAACGGGGGTTTAGCTGAAAAAATGAAATTTAAGGAATGCAGTGTGTACAATCTGATCTATCTTGAAGGAATTTTCCTTTCAAATATTCGTAAATTGATGAAGGGAAGTGATTTATGGGTTTTATGGGGTCGTGAATTACTCGCATTTACCATTGAAGAAAAATTAATATTGTTTGCGCAAATAAATTCTCTTTTTTGAACTAGGTGCCATGACTATGTGACGAAAAAACAAGACTCAAAATGGTCACACAATGAAATTGAACTCATCATTTTAAGTTTAGGTTTCCGTTTATAACCACTGTAGAGGTCTCCATTTATAACCACTGTTTCAACGTTTAATTTAAGACATCTGCACCACTATTGACTTTGACGGGGCAAGGCGATTCGTATCTAACATGGTTTATGTACATTTGTGCGAGGTGTGCGATTAGATTAAATCGTAAAATAATCTACGTCATCAGTAATTTTAATAAAATCAAAAGGTTCCAGGCGCCAAATTGAATAACAATTACTGAAGAAAATAACTAATACTCGACTTGCATCAACGTTTTTTCTGCTTCTAGCAACCATGATGCGGCAGTGCAGACAGAACCATCTAGACCGTCTCAACGAGTGCATCGTGAGCGCCCTGATGAGAATTTGACCCCAGCTCGCAGTGGGTGAGAAATTAAGATTACTTTCTGTTCACAAATTTTAGTACCATTATTAAAAAACAGACAGTCTGGCAGATTAACGCCATCAAATAGGAAATATAATTTACTTACCACATCGGCAGTTTTTTATTTCACCTAATTGGTATATTACACCTCACCTTCACATCGAACCATAACCTGCTAAACTTAATCTTTCAACTTGGTTTGTTAGTTAACCTCATCAACCTCATAATTCCATAAGTTCATCCCATGTTCAATTCACTTCACATCTCGTCCGTTAACTTTTCAACAGCGACCAAATCTGTGATTTCTCCCCTCCAATCAACTAACTTCGCCAGACTACGAGACTGTCACTTCAACCTCACTCTGACAGCGCCCACACCCTATCCTCCCCACAGGTATTTTCCCCAGCTGCAACTACCACCCTTGTTACTTCAACCTCACTCTGACAGCGCCCTCACCCAATCCTCCCCACAGGTATTCCGCAGCTGCAACTACCACCCTTGTCACTTCAACCTCACTCTGACAGCGCCCTCACCCTATCCTCACCACAGGTATATTCCCCAGCTGCAACTACCACTCTTGTTACTTCAACCTCACTCTGATAGCGTCCTAACCCTATCCTCCCCACAGGTATTCCGCAGCTGCAACTACCACCCTTGGACCCTCACCACCTGAGCCCCATCATCTTCAACCAGCTGCAAGGTCCGGTGCAGATGCGCTCCAGCTTCGACGACATCGTCATCAACGGCTTGTCCAAGTTCGACCTCCACTACTTCGAGTAAGTGGCTGCTATCATTTTCCCGTGTACCGTCGAAACATTTCAATTATTCCGATATCTTAGAATTAGGAAGCATTAATTATAAGTGAGCAGAAATTGTTTCAGCGTTACAGGGGAAAAAATGTGGGAGGCATTGCAACCAAATCAGTGTAAATCGGAAGTCATATTGATCTTTATAATGAAATTGAATTTTTCACGATTGCCACGAACTAAAATACAAGCAAAGCATTATCAGCACCCCTGGCAGAATTTACTTTACGATGAGAAATTTTTAAGAAGCGTCAGGTGTTAAAAGAATCTGATTTCAGCGATATTTGGAACTAGTATTAATTAAAAATTTAAAAGCAAAGAAAACTCCACAAAAATTCATAGTATCTTTAAAGAAACGTTTTAAATCTTTAAAGACGTTTTCTTTAAAGTTACTATGAATTTTTGTGGAGTTTTCTTTGCTTTTAAGTTTTTAGTGAATTTGCGATTCAAGCAAACGAGTGATATTATTACTTAGTATTAATTAACATTATATCGTTCGAAATTCAAATATAGCACTTTATGCATCCACTGTTTATCCAAAAATGCATCTGTAGTAGTAACAAGCATATTGAGATATTAACGGAACTTGAATTACCTACTTTGAAGTTAAGACGGCATAGGACCATAGGTTGCGTGCATGATTTCAAGTGAACGAAAACAATCGCGAGAATGTAGTATTTTTTGAATATTCGGGACTTAAATACCATTATTGAGATAGTATAATCAATTAAACGATCATCTTTATAAAAATTGACTATATATTCAATGAATAAATAATTCATTGAGGCACATAAATTGATACTGCTGGCGCTACGAAATGTTCGAATCAACGTCCTCAAATACGAGTTAAAATGTCTATCCTAGCCTAAATGCCTATCCTAGGCGCGCGTATTTTAGGATAATAAAGGCGACAATAAGAGATTGCCCGTTTCTATCAAAACTATGACCTGCTTGTGTCAGTGCGTCAACATAAGATGGACAGTCACATCCCACCCATCGGCGATAATTTTCATACTATAAGGCTGTACACGAACGATATACCACTTGTCACGTACGGCCCATATTACGGCCTATGGATGTACAACAGTATTAACAATAATATAACTCAATTTTTCAGTCCGGCGACCCTATTAGATGCCTTGACAGTAGCTGTTGTTTATGCCGTCTCTTTTTTTCTCACATGCTCATCTTGCACAGCATATTGTTGAACTCCATTAGCGGTGCTGTATGCGTTCACCCGCTGTAGCTGTTGTAGAAATGTTGCTCTATATGATGTAAAGTTTTAGCTTTTTGTTGTTGATTCCTTTGCTGACTGTCATTGACAGTCGCTGCCACATCGCTGCCACCTTCATACGACACCGCTGGCTTATTGTAGGACGCTTGTTGGCGCCCTCAGCTGATGCCGGCCCTTGTAGTCGCTCTCGTAGATGCTCTCGTAGACGCTCTTGTAGACGTTCTCGTAGACGCTCTTGTAGACGCTCTTGGCTCTGCATGTTGTTCCGGATTCAGAGAACGCAAAATAATGCGTAGACGCTTCAAATTACTCTGCGTCAGTCGTAGGCTCGAAAGTCTTGAAGTTGCAGGTTAACTAAGACGCGACAGACAAAACTTGAATATTCTCATAGTTTTCGGCTGCAGAAATTAGTAGATGAAGGTCTTCTTGGTCTCTTCTTCAGACGTTTAAATGAGTTAAACATCGCAGAAACAATCCGAGAACGACCATGCTGTTCGAACTCATTCAAGTACGAATGTGGTACATAAGTGCTTAAATGTAGATGCCCATTCACAGAGGTTGGAGAAAAAGTCGTTACATATAGAATTTTGGGGCCTTGTAGTACAGAGTGGTTTTTGGTACTGGAGTTAAATGAGGCAATTCGGTAGAATTCGGATTGACGGATCCCCGAGATGTAGGTTAATCATGAGATTGATGCGATCAGTTTAGTGATTTATTAATTCAAGTGTTCCTTCTTCATGTACAGTACTTATAAGACCCAGTGGACAATTACTTATAATAAAACACGAGCGGAAGGAACAGCACGAAATCGGGCTTGGGATGAATTCTCGTTTTGTTCTAGAACTACCCGTAAATCACAAAATAAAATAGCTGCTATTACCAAGCCTAAAACTAATAACAAATTATCAGACCTTATAGATATCAAAACTGGCCATGATTAACTGGCTTACAATGATGTTTACTTTTCTTTTAATTTTAGTCTATTTAATATGGCTATCGGCCAGAGTTCGCGAGAACGGTACATAATTACGGTATTAAATATTCAACAAAAATGCAGTTTTGCACCTAACAATATCATGAATCATTACAGAATCTATGCTAGCATTATTCATCTGCATGTATATGCGAGCCATGAAGAATTGAATGGCACTTAAACTGAACAAAATTAAGGTTATTTCGATTATTGGTATTCTATCTGAATGGAATTGAGGTCTGTGAAGCAAGCAGCGCTGCCGCTGTATAGCTCAATATTGTGCTGTCACAAAGAGTGATTATGTTTCGCCACCACTCGTGACACGATGCGGCCCTTAATACTTAATATGATTCTGGATACTTGATATGATTCAAATTTTACATTTTACTGATGCTGGGATCGGCGCAATTTCGACATTAGTTCTATGGAGGCCAGGCTGGAAAATTTTTACAGCATTTATCGCTTGAGGTAGTAAACTTATTCGCTGTTAATTTATCTTATAATTACACATTAATTTTATGACACGACGTATGAATTTTAAAATAACCCTCAAAATTTCCTGAATCGGAATGCTACACTCCTATATATTCAATTTTTTATAGGAATGAATATTAGCGATGTCTACAAAATTCAACCACACAATGGATTTTTACTAAATTCAATAGTCAGATTCATTCAAGTAGTACTACGAGACGTGATTTAAACTAGTGAATCGGATGACGGAGAGTACTAGGGGAGGGTATGGGGTCATCTTCGAGACCAACGGTTACAAAGTCCAGGTTATTCTTGTACAGCCGTGCTGGATGTGTGGAAGTGCTATGTGTGAGAATGGGGAAACGGTGATCTGGGCGATATTTGTATCCAAATTCCTTTGAAAGAAAGCTATCAACTTCACGTCGACATATCATGTTTGTAACACCTTTGAATCTGGTTAATATCTGTTCGAGGGTAACAGGAAGCAATCAAAGTGCAAAACTTCGGCGATAACTCACTGTGGTTAGGCTTCTTGATCCCTTACTCGTCGCTCCTTAAACCACCGGTAGGAATACTTAGTATTGTATGATGTAACTGCTTCCTTAGCGGATGATTGGTCTTTCAAGTATTCACTAACAACAATGTTCTCCTATATAATGTCAGTTTTCCTAATTGTTGTAATTGCCCTAACCATCTTCCGCCCTCCCTATTGCAGCTGGCACTATAGTCTCAGGAAGATGTTCATCGGTGCCACAATTCCCACGTTAATTGTGAAAGGCAAATACAACATCATGGGGTGGATCATCGGGCTACCTTTGCAGGCCGTGGGATCGTACTCTGCTGTCTTGCGTGCGTTGGGGTGATAAGTACAATTTTTAGGACAAAAACGCCAACCTGAGGGCGGCTGCAGGGATGCAGTATGTTTCAGACGACTCTACTTCTTCTCCCTTCATTTGTACTCAACTGACTATGTAAATAAAAATAGCCCTGTTATTTTAATTTCATTTCAAACTGATTGTATTCGCTGTCCTAATGATTCTTATCGTCCGGGTAGAGTGAGATAGATTCTACGTTGAAGTTGACTACCATACTGACGCACCATCCCTGCTCTTGATGATAATGGTGATTCATTAGATCTTCCGTTGAGAAATAATTGTTGAACATGACCACCTCAAAATGAATTTTGTTTGTGATTAGATCCGCCACTTCATTTCAATATTTCGGGGGTAGGACCTTTGCTGGTCTTCATGGGTGTACTTCGATGACTCTCGTATACTTGATCTTCAATGAGCTATATTTTGAAATAATGGAACTTCCCAAGCATCCCTTTCGGGATGCAAGTACAAAAAATTGCGGCTATAGAATGATTGAAAAAGTCTTGGAAAGCAATGTCTCATGGAGAAGTTTCCGTCAAACTTCGCTACCTGTGGTAATGTGCCACAGGTGTCGAAGCAAATGTGGTGAAGCAATTCATAAAGAAATTGATGTCATTATTGATAACTTTATTCAATATGTTTGTGTCACTATTGCTCCTTTATAGCCTTTAGAAGATTCATTTTGGGAAGCCGGATGGTGTATTTTATGTCTACCCTGATGAGTTATTCTTAGCTGCACACTTTAGTTGGTTTTCTGAACAGTACTTGGTACTTTAGGTTACGAGGTACAAAGTTCTACTCGTCTACCTTTTCTATACAAAAGTTTTACTAAAGAAAACTGTTAGGGTTGATTGCTCCATGTTCTATGAAAGTGTATTTATTATTAGACACTATGTGAGTTGTATGATAGTATGTATTTCAATATTTAATACTTTCGACATCTCTGGTTACAGGCGGGATTGAGCTCGAAGCCGAGAGTGACTTGGGCTTAAAGGCAGACGGCAGAATGTACCTGAAGAATGTCAATCTGAAATTCAAAATTAAATCACATGATCTGCAGCTCGAAAACCCCTCCGGCAGCAATACTGTTCTCAGTGAGTATCATGTACAGATTTTTGATGGTATTTTGGGAAAGCAAATCTCCGTGAACCTGGGGAATTAATTAAGCACATCCGGAGATTTTAATTTCAGGAATTTGTTATTTTGGCATTTTTGGGTCGATTCTTTATCGTATTAGGTCGATTTTGATTATTTTTGATCATGGTTGGCCGAGTGTGGTTAGATTTGTTATGTATGGTCCTTTTTTGGTATGCTTAGTTGGGTTTAAATGAGTTTTGGTAATGTTGAAATGGGTTATGGTTGAAAGGGTTCGATCATTTTCGGTGGTGGGTTCGCTTGGCATAGTCAGGTTGTGTTAGAATGGATCTAGGCTGGTGAGGCATGGCTGGATTAAAATTAATCCGGTTTCTTTTAACTTTCTTTTTATTTTGCATAGATGAATGCAGTATTTATATCGAGGACTACAATAGGGAGATACAATAAGAGAACGGTAATGATATACCAGTGTAGATGAGGTGTTAGTTTATTTTCACGATTTTGTACAACAGGTGACGTCATGCAGAACTTCCTGAACGAAGTCTTCGACCTGATGCTGAGAGCCCAGCATCCTGAACTGCAGAAGATGTATGGTGACTTGCTAGCGACGATCCTCAAGCCTTTTGTTGATTCCCTTCCACTAGATGTCGTCTCGTATATAACTAACGCTAATTCATTAGATAAACATCGGCGCAAGACAAATGAAAGACTGATAGCTGAAGCTCAAGCGACCATACTTCAGGGATCACATTTGGTCTACGGGTTTTATCCTATAACGTTAATGTTATTCACTTGAACGAAGTTACATCAAAACGATTACACGGATCATTAAAACGAGTAATGATCATTCATGGATCATTAAAATGATCATTATAAAACGATTACGCAAAGAAATGATGAGCATTTGGTGCCTCTATTGAATTATTTACAATTAGTAATCCAATCCAGCCAGATGTAGAGGTCCTATTTATTGCAGTAGTTGTCCCAGCAAAAAAAAATCGTACCATTCCACTTAGGGAGAAGAGTGAGTGTCTATGCAGATCCCAGTGAAAATTTGCAGACAAGTCAGCTTCCGATTTGGAGTACCAGAAGCTAGGGCGACTCTAAATTTTGTTAGGGTAGGGATGCTCTCTTCTTGCGTTTGTGCGCCATCCTGACAAACTCTGCGTTGGCAGAAGATCGTATCAGGGCTACGTTCTCTCCTTTCTCTTGTGTGTGTGTAAAATGATTGACTTTCTTTTTACAACACTTCTCTTTAACTTCACTTCTTGTTTGTATGTTTGTCTGTCTGCTGCAAATCTTGTAATCAAAATTTAATACACTTCTACTTAACCTATCGATCTGAAATTTTGCACACTTGCGTAAAGTTGGAGAAAATGCATGAATCAAATGACAAAGTAAATTATTTAGAAAATTAAAAAAAAATTCCAATATTAAAATAATTGAAAAAATAATTTTGTCACCTACAAATCTTATAACTGATGTTTGACACACTTTTACCTGTCCAATTGATCTGAAATTTTGCACACCTGTGTGAAGCCGGAGGCATTGCTTGACTAAATTGACAGAATAAATAATTTTGAGAAAAAAATTGTATATATAAAAAAATTGAAAAATTAATTTTTTTAATATTTGAAAATAAAATGAGAAATTCATAGTACATCTTTAACATTGGAGACACTGGATTCTTTAGAATTGTTGTCTTTAAAAAGTTATCTTTAAAACGTATATTATTCTAACTAATTATCTGGACACTATGCCTCACTCATGTTTCTTGGTGTAAATACGTCCCTTTGCCGTAAAGAACTTGGTCATGAAGATTAGGGTTACCATGGATAAAAAGTGAATCGCTACTAAAGTACGAAGGAATGTCCTGTTTGATCTAATTTCTAAATTTAAATTAGACGCTATATATGCTACTCCTAAATACTGTGAGGAAACGATCGAACAGTTCCATGTTCCACACCGACCGTTAGTAGTGCGTTATAACCACTTTAAGAAAGCTTATAAGTTTCCATGTTCGAATGAGAATAAGAATAGAAACGCAGAATAAAACATTCACAATTTTAAAAATCATTCATTATCATCTCACAAGTTGAATAAGTTTTGAAGTGGCATCAACAACATCTTGATTGAAAGTAAATGCAAAAAATGAAATTATTACAACATTTGTTTTAAATATCAGGCGTTGATGAAAGACATGGATCGAGGAAACGCAACCTCATTTCTAAGTAATATGTGATCATTTTATGTATTATTTCAATATAACATCGGAAATTTCGTGAAGCAAAATGCCATTACGTCAACTAATATTTCTTCAGTAGGACCTGTAGTATTGAGGTCTCTCTCATAATATTGAGTATATAATATTACGAGTAATTTTTATCATACATAATAATAATGTATACATGGATATGATCTTAAAATAATGTATATAACGCATATATCTTCTATATCCAGTAATTATGTAGATATCATGGCTCTTGAGTATTTTTATCTAAGATTAGCATCATCCACGTGTCGTTGGCTCCGCGGGCTGAGGCAGGAAATAAATATTATTGTAGCGTTTCCTCCTGCCCAATATCCCTCCCGCTACACTGCTACAGCCAGTCATATATCCCTCCCGCTACACTGCTACAGCCAGTCATATATCCCTCCCGCTACACTGCTACAGCTAGTCCTATATCCCTCCCGCTACACTGCTTCATCTTTAATACGAGATTTAACGTGAACATTGTTTTTCTGTGAACACGTTTGCGTAGCTCTTATGTCTTCACGTGTGCGTTGCGTTCTGGCAACAAGCGTGCATTGTTATTTCGACAACACACACAAATGACATGTATACAAATAACTTCAACATACACGCTTCGAAGGCAAAGCCGCTTAAATAACCCCCATAATACTACTAACCTAACCTAACCCTGTTCAAATAAGTGAGGTTCCCCTTTACCTCCAGTTTGAGGCAATGCATGCGGCGGAGAGGGGGCACGCTAGAGGGCATAACGGCCTATGAAGTCATGTGTTCAAAGCCAAATGCCGCATGTCCACATACACAAAATAAGCTTGCTAAAGGTAAGCATGGCCATACTGCATCTGGCCAAAGCTATTCCGGCCTAACATCTTCAGGCCTAAATTACACAAGTTGCAACATTAAAAAAAAAAAACACCCAAAACAAACCTGAGCAAACCTAACCTAACCTAATTGGCTGCAGGAAGTTAGACAGGCGGTCCAAGTGTGCTGGTAGAGCCAGTCATTGGTTGCAAGAATGTTCTGAGCCGCTACAGCGTGAATAGGTTAGGCCATAAGAGGTGAGGCCGGAGTAGGTACAGCCAGATGAGGAGCTGCCTGGTGATGAGATAGCATGCTTAAGCATTGGCTGAAGACCTACGGCGCTATTATCTTTCGCCAGTGTGTCGCTAGTCTGGATTACGGAGTTCAAGCGTTGTCTGCGGCATCTGGCTCTGAGGCTGAATAAAGTTATGCATGTTGAAGCTGGGCGTTTGCCCCAGGGTTTAATCAAGAGTAAAATTTGTGGCCTACGGCTACACCCCCGGGAGAGCCGGTGAGCGGGGACGCTGATGGTGCCCTGTAAAGTTATATAACTTATATACATATGTGGCGTCAGTAGCCTGGTGCATTGCGTCATGTACGGATGACGCTTGAGACGTGTATTTGATCTCATTTCAATCGTGTAATGTTAGTGTGAGTAGAGGAGTGAGCGAATTGAATATAACTCAGTTTTAAAATTCAATTAATTTGTTAATGTTAATTAATTAATGTTAATTTCCTAAGTTTCTAACTTATAGTGCTTACCCGGAATGGTGACGTTCAAGAAAACACCTTTGAGTTTCAAGATTTTCGTTGTAATAGAAATTCTTAATTTGGGGTATATTTTGGCCGATCTTGTTATTTCAGCTCGCTCGTGTTCATATACTCCAGGTTTTATTTCTAATTCGCCAAGATAGCTGCATCGATTTTTGGAACTGTAAGTCTAGAATTGTCTTCAGTCGACTGCTTGGTTACGTTTTCAATTGACACACAGTAGTCTTGACAACCCGGCGCATGGCCGCTTCGCTTGCAAGTGATACACTCTTGAAATAGGATGCCGAGCCTAATCGCAAGTAATTGCGTTTGCCGTTTTTCATAATTCTGGGCTTTATTCCGTTGCATCGGCAGGTTTTTGCAGTATGAAAATTGAAGTATCTCTATGAATTTTGTTCTTCATAATTAAGATGAACTACAACTGAACAGACTAAGAGGATAGATTGCTGCAGTTGCCATTCAGCATAGACCAATGTTCGATGGTTATAAAATTCTATTTGTAACTTCGGAGGTAGTAATGTTTCTTTTCTATTCGGCAGTAGTGATGTTTATAACCATTATAGACCCGTGTAAAACAGCTGATCGGAACTTTCTAATGACGTAGCGTGAAATTAATCAGGATGTTACTCAGAGCATGCAAAGGGAAAATGTAACCCAGAGCAGGCAAAGGGAAAATGTTACCCAGAGCATGCAAAGGGAAAATGTTACCCAGAGGCCAGAGCATGCAATGGGAAAATGTTACCCAGAGCATGCAATGGAAAAATGTTACCCAAAGCATGCAAAAGGAAAATGTTACCCAGAGCAGGCAAAGGGAAAATGTTACCCAGAGCATGCAAAGGGAATATATTACCCAGAGCATGCAATGGGAAAATGTTACTCAGAGCATGCAAAGGCAAATAGGAATACAAGCCAGTTCTGCACTGAGTGGCATTATCGCGATTGATTCATAATTTTTGCTAAAAAATTTTTTGTATTTTCCTTATATTTGAATGACCTACTGCCGCCGGTAACACGCCCTTGGTTTCTCATGGCTTATAAATAAGCGTTGCTACCTCCGCTCTGATGTAAACGTCGTAAGATTGTTGGTGTGGTTACCTGCTCGCCTGCCAGACGCGCGAACTTCAGTGCTTGGCAAGCTCCTGTGCGAGTTGTCCATTGTTGCTGGGCACTTATGGCGTACAATAATGTGCCGGTGCTTGTAGTAAGCGTATTTTTGTAAGCGTGCTTGTAATTTGTTTTTGTTTTCATAATATCTAAAACTAAATTTTATGCGCCATTATTTCTATTATTGACTACCAACGAATACTGTGAGGATCATTGTTATAAAGTCATATTTCGTTGTTTTTAATCAACGGGTTGATACTAATTTCAATCGAAACTTTCCTAGTGTAGCTACTTATTTACTAGAAATTCGTCTGTACTTAGATTTTCATAGGACAGATTCATGTGTGGTTGTTATCTTCATAACGTCGTACAATCATAAATTCCTCCATGATAATATTATCGATAACAAATAAAAGAAATAACTTTAGTGAGTACATTATTGAGTGATTATGACCTTTATCCTCAGAAATCTCACGACTTATCATGCCACTCGTCTTGTCTCATCACCAGACCAACTAAACGATATCGCAAGCAAAAAAACGTACAAGATCTTCACTATATTTCAGTCTCGGCGTCGTGCGCGTGTGTGTGTGCATCCATGATTTGTCAGCGTGTTTCAATTAATAACCTTGTAATCAATGCTTTTTGAAAGATCATGCTTTTTGAAAGATCTTTTGTTCATAGGAGATCGAAATTTGTGATCCGTTTCTGGCCTCATCTGGATTACAACCCAAAAGTATGTGAGAAATGTGGTCGTGGAGCGCGATCGTCACGATCATCTGCGTAATTCCTTGAAACTACGATCATCCTTGTCATTTTCTTAACATTCTACCTGATGCGTCATGAGAAACCGATTTAATGAATTTCGATCTACTTAAAATTTACATACGATTTATGGAAAGATTTATCTTCTGTGCGCGATTATAACGTTCTATAATCGTGACGTCTGACACAAATTAAATCTAACGATGCAGTGAAGTTAATCTTGTGAATTCAACAATTTATTATATGTTAATGATTAGTTTTATCCTTGACGGCAATTTTAATGCACGGCCCGCATGCAAATGTAACATTATTACTCGTTGCTGCCGGCTCTTCAATGCAATAAACCATTGCTTATTAGGAACAATTAGTCACTGTAAAAAGAGATATTCTTGCTTATTTAATTAATGTGAAATATATTTTTGATGATTATTCGATATACAGATAGAAGAAGTTATAATAACTCAAAATACCTTGTATATAGCAGTCATTTCTGGTAATTAATTTATTTGAATTATTTTGATGGTAATTGGATTATGACGTTGAAAATAATTGAAAAAAAATTAAATTTTTAAATGATGTCAGCACTGAAAACTTAAAGATAAGCATATAAGATCACTTACAGTGATAACATTGATAACTACAATGCAATATATAAAAAGATTTCATAAATGAAAAGTAAAGATCTCATTTTTATTTATTTCAAGTAGATTTTAATGGAACAATTTCTTCTTTTGCTCGACTTTTTTTCTAACGAGCTACTGCCTAAAGTGTTAGATTAACTCTCACTACATTCACTGCAGATATTAATAACAATAAATTAACAATAGTTATTTATAGTTTTATATAGACCACAGTTCTAAGTTTTATTGTGCGTATTTAACCTCGCCATGCAAGCAGGATTATCAGTCGCCTTCAGCCGGCGGCTGGTGCGCGCATCCGTGGCAATCAAGGCGGTACGGTGAGTCATGCATAGCGACAATAATTATGAAGCATGTAATTACTGTAATTAATGTAAGTAATTACGTGGAGGTTACTCCTATCACTATACTGCATGCATGTGGAAGTTTGATCCTCGCAAGTATTGGTGTTTTATTTATTCTTTATTACTTTTAAATCGACATGTAAGCGAACAAAAAAAAACATGAATGATCAAATTGAATATGTTATTAAAATATTTCAAAATTCCCCATTATTAATCCCTTCAAATATTACCTTCAGTTCGAATTGGATAAAAATTGGAGGACATCCGTTTCCCTACATAAAATAAAACATACAATACATTCGATTCTAGTAACTTACGCAACATTACAACTTGCTCACAACAAAACACATATAAATACATGCCTGCGCATATCTATCTCAACAAAAGGCCACCCACATAACCCACAAACTCGCATAAAAAAAATTAAATAACATATAATAACATAATAACAAAAATACCGGCCGTGTGTTCTCGAAACAACTCGCAAATATAGCATAAAACTCTCTTAATTAATCACTAAACTATAATACCTGCAACTAACAAAAGGACAAAATGTAAATTTAAACTATACACTCAGCTGCATTTTTACCGCCGCAAATGATTCTGCATAATCTCATTCTGAAATGATTAAATCACCCGGACGTACCAAACAAAGTCATCAACAAAACCTATCCAGCTATGTACACTTTTTTATCAAACAACATCATTGGCTCATAATAACTGAAAAAATATCTAAAATAAGCTAACCTGATTAATCTAAGCTAACCTGCCCTAACCTAACGTAACCAAACTTGTCCTGACCTAACCTAACCTAAGCTTACGTGACCTGTACCTGTACGTCATCGGGAGAGCGCGTGGCAGGGGAGACTAAACTGCAATCGTGAGTTTCCGTTGGGAATCGAGAATTTTTAATGCAGATTCTATTCGAAATTATCATGATATATTTGTAAGTAAATATTATGTAAGTATTTTGAATTATTTAGTGTACTTGAACATTTGAAAGTATCAATTCAAAGTTATAAGTGTTTATTTTATTTCTGAAGCTAAGTGTAGCCGGCAGAATTTTATCCAATGTTTAAGTAATTTCAAAAGTGGATTAGCTGCATTCTTCAACTCCTAGGATAAAGTAATATCTTAGATTTTTCCTAAAAAGAAAATTATTGTTATAGGATTTACGTTCGTTCCAATTTTCTTGAATTTATGATAAATTTAGGCTGATCCTCGACCAACAAAATGATTGCTTTCAACATTTGTTCGCACCTCAAAACGTTCGGGATTCACTAGCCAGAACTACGTCCATTAGTTTTAGTAACGTTAAAAAATATCCACAAGCTGTCAGAAAAAACCCTAATTAGATCAGATAGGAGACGTTATTATTAGGGTCAAATTAGCGAGCGATCAGGAGAGGCTATGGTTTAGGGCGAAGTCAGTGAGGGACGCTGTGCTTGCGGGATGACGACAATTAGTTTCATTAAAATTTTTGGAGTATTAATCTGTTTTGGACAAGGAAAAGAAATTGGTAAGTTTCCGGCATATCGAGCTGGGCGATCTGGTAAACTCAATGAGAAAAAAAGTTGGCAACACTGGCCCAACGGCTGGACAGTCGGGAGGTAAACGCCTAAACGGCAATAAGATGACCGGTCCGACACTTCAGCGAACTCGCGTGCGAACTAAAAAATACCCTCCGCAGCGTACTGATATTATCTACTTATATTTCAAATTTGAAGAAAATCCGTCCATTATTGACGGAGTTATGCGTGCCAGAGTTGAAAATGAAGTTCGAGCTCGCAGGCGAGTTCGCACGCGAGTTCGCTGAAGTGTCGAATCGGTAATAAGATGGATAGTAGTAGCAGTAGTGATGGCGCGGTATGTTGTTAAAACACGCTCAGTTTTACACAACGATTTGTCTGCGCAGTTCTAATCGTTGCAGATAAAACGTTGCGTGTGGACGGGAAAACTGCGCAGTTTTGAAGCTGGCGGGAAGGCTGCACAGTTGCAGCAGCTTAGTAGAAAAATTCAAAGAAATCGATGGAAGCGCAAACAGAGAAACAGCTGTAAAACAATTAATAAGTTGAGGAGCATTTACCGTAAATAATTGGGGAAAAATTAAAAAATCGATTCCATCTGGATCTGGAGAAAATGACATCGACAAGCCATCTCTCTTGTATTTTGATTCCTCGCATTTCCTAAATGATCCACTCTCTTTTTTAACAAGGCAAATGCCAAAATTGATCAAAATACTGCCTTCTCCATGGCACGTCTCGGACAAATTTACGGACGGACTCGCGGTCGGTCTCCCCCAAATTCAGTGAGCGTGGAATATCTCCCAAAGTAATGAACGTAGCTCGATAAAACTTGGTACACGTATTCATTATGACCTAACGGTGATGTTTAGCACGTGACAATTTTTTCGATTTTGCCTTCGTTTGCGAGTTATACGGCTTTATCTAATCAAAAAAATTGGCACGAGCTAAACATCCCCGTTGGGAGGTTAGGTTCTATATTCAACGTTTCGTTTAAATCTGTACAGCAGTTAAGAAGAAATGTCATGCTCACTGCAAATTTCGGCACGTATCGTCATATAACTCAAGAATAAAGGTGAAATTCCAAAACTGTTCACAAACTAAACATCATTGTTAGATCCTACTGAATATGTGTACTAAGTTTTATGTTGTTGTTGTTGTAATTGCCCATCCTGGTAGTGGCGACTAGGTAAGGGAGGGGGTGATAGGTCAGTTTTTCCGGGCACTTGGTGCCACTGGTAGTTCCACGACCATCACTGGCTCGCTGACCCGCCAGAATCATTTTATTGCATTACACAACACCCTGGACATGCCAGGTACTCATTTATCAACCAGAGTTGGATGAATAGCTGAGTTGACCATGAGCTGAGCGTCCCGGAAGAACTTGTCCTTAGTGGGACTCAAACCCGGGAGCTGGGTGCGAGAGACAGAGTCTCTCACCACTGCACCACCGCATAGTCTCTCACCACTGCACCAAGTTTTATCGAGCTACGTTCCTTACTTTGGGAGATATTCCATGCTCACTGAATTTGGACACCGGACGCAAGTCCGGCCGTAAATTTGTCCGAGACGTCTCCATGGCGAGATCGCGCAAAACTGAGCAAACTATAAGTCGGCACCGTGTGGACGCTCTAAAAATTGCAACGATTTCATTCCGACTTAAAACTGCGCAGACAATTCGTTGTGTAAAAGTGAGCATGTGGACCGGCCTTTAGTTGTGATCACATTACGGTTCGTGCTGGACAGAGTTTGGCCGAGACAAGGAGAGGAAAAGCGCCTAAATTTTCTGGATAAGGATCAATGAGGCAGAAAACTGGAGCTCTGCATAGATTGTTTCAGAATAATTACCGATTACTTCATTACCGATTAGGTGGAGTTATTACCGTCGAAGATGGCCAGGCCAGAATCCTTCTTCTTTCGTCCTCTCCCCACCACTTGACCTCACCCATATGGATGCTGGCCGCCATAACTCGGCCATTACCCTCCCTGCAGGTGTGCAGCGACTCGGGGCGCCTCGTGAGCTTCGGGGCGCTGAAGGATGCGGCGTTTCGGTGGGGCGGCTACCTCCTGACGAAGGGTCTGGAGAGGGGCAGCGTGGTAGCGGTGCTCAGCCCCAACATGGTCGACTACCCTGCTGTAATGTTGGGCACCTTCAGTGTTGGGTGTGTCTACACTGGAATCAACCCCAGCTACACCCCCAGTCAGTGTGCAACCTAGAATTTTGTGCACAGACAGCATTTATTAATCATTAGAGCTCTGAGAATACTTAATACTATTATACGAATGATGAGTACACAACAAAAAATACAGTACACAACAGTAAACCTCAACTGCATGCAGCTCCCGGTCAGTATACAGGGTTTGAGTGCACGTGCAGCATTTATTGGGCATTAAAGCTCAGAGTAATCCATGTTGTATTATGGCAACTGCCAGGTACAGTGCATACTGACATGAATTCTGAAATGTCCCAATGATAGTGAAACGTTTCACGTTACCCAGAGCTTCGTTCCACCAGCTGAGGTGGCGTACCAGCTGAAGGACAGCGGAGCGAAGATGCTGGTCGTGTTTGGGCCACTACTGGAGGTGGCCAAGAAGGCCATGGCCATCAACAAACAGGATCTTCCTATGGTGGCCATCGGGTCATCAGATGGCCTCCCTAACGTCGCCGATATCGTCCAAGACACGACCATAAACTTCGCCCCACCAGCCAAGGTATTATAATTTTTAATTTCATGCACTATTTGAACATATGTGCTGCCAGGGGGTGAACAAGGTGTTTTTTACAAAATTATGTTGATTAAATATCACCTAACATTGCAGGTAACTCGAGGTAGTAGGGTAATCCTACGTTTCTCATGTTATTTTTTTATCTTAAGGCCCATAAACGGCAGAACGGATGTTCAAAAAACAGAATATATATAATAATATTGCATTTTTTATCGGTATCCATAGTATATCTTGGTTGAGTCTCGTCACGATGGGAATTGTGTAAACGAGTTCACATAACCCCTATTTATTTTCAATAAAACCAGCAGAACACTTAATGATGCCCTATAAAAATTCATAACAATTCACACCATTAAATCTTGTGGACTAATGAAAGTTGTTCACTCCACTATCTATCAAAGAACTCCAATCAAGTAAAGTAATTCCTAACCGCTTACAGTGTTCTATTCAACCCACAATCCAATCCCAATCTAGCATTCAGCATGTAACATACTAAACCTGTGAAATGACATAAAATACAACAATGTTTCTAAATTCAAGCGTCAAACAGACTTGAATGCACGTATAATGAAAAATTTTCATTCGATTACTTGTGTGGACAATTTCTTGTTCTAAATAATGGTTTTAGTTTTTCCCTATCCCTTGAATATTTTGCTTTGAAATCAGGTATTATGTTCAATAATTTCATAGCCGTTCCCACTGATACTAACTTGGCAATACTCAATGGAACGGGGATGGATTTTTCTTCTATAGTTGACTGGGGAAGAGTGCATGGCTCTCCTGTACTCGAGCGGCACGACAGGCAAGCCGAAGGGCGTCTCAGTGCACCACACCGCTGGCATCGCAAACTTGGACATGATCTCCCACCCCAGTTACTTCTTGGGAGGGTTGTCCACTGGTGGGTTCTGGTGTTGCTACTCTAACAAAATTTGGATGCAGTCCCGACTCTGTAATAGGTTCCTCCTAGGACTTGGGGAGCATCTACATCAGCCCTTCTACGTCAGCTTCGGGAGTGCTTGAAGTGCAGCCTCGTATAGCAGCTTGCGAGATTGGTATGACTTGGCCTCGGCTAACCCTCCTCACACTCTCAGGACTCAAGTCGATAAGGACTAAACTAAACAACACTAACAAGTCAGTAAGGACTATTCTGACTAAAAGCTTATTCCGATCGGGTGTTCAAGCAAGCTCAAAATAATTCTAAGCCGAGTGCTGAAACTCTTGGGCAGGGAACCAAGTCGTTACAGATTTTTGTTAGGGTATATTGGCGCGTCATGCTGGCCCGCAACAAGGACATGTTGTCCTGCCCGTTAACACTATTGAGGTCATTGGTAATTGAAATAGAGAGGCTGTCTCATCCCAGTTTGTAAATTTAAGGTTACCTACTAGACTACTTCGCTATTGAGTTAATTGTGTTATTAGTGACTTGAAATGGCATAATATTCACCATAATATTTACTCGCATACAAAACATTCTAGCCTTCAATACAAGGGGCAGTGGGGTGATCAGACTGAGTGATATCAACAAGTGATTAGATTAGAGACGTTTTACGCTTTAGGTCCGTTGCCATCATGGCTGTACTTAATGCTTCACATCAACGACAGGTCGTTGCCCCGCCTATCGTACCTCGCGTGCTGCCTTTTTTATAGCTTTTTTTACTACTATAAGGATTTAATTTTTTTTAATCTTATCCAGCTGATTCCCCGAGCTTCGCCCTAGCGCTCCCCATGTTCCATTTGTCGGGGTTCCTGGCCATTACCAGCCTGGCGGTGCTCAACGGAGTCAAATTGGTCAACGTGACCAAGTTCAACCCGGGAACTTTTATTGACATCCTATTAGAAAATAGAGTAAGTCATCGAAGTACAAATCGTGAACTTTTAAAAAAGGTATATTCAATCCAAGCAAAATCAACTTGAGCGAAGTTTCTGACAAAAACGAAGGTAACATAAAATCCTTAAAAATTTAAAATTTAACATGTTGAAAAAATCATTCATCACTAATGCGGGCATGCCGTGCTGACGCTCGAGGAGCTGTTTACCACTTAATAAAATTTAAATAGCTTGGCTTGCGACTGTTACTAAAATCGACTTTGGCGGTGTGGAATTACGGAATATTTTCTTGTCCACTATAGGAACCTACTAGGAGGCTGGATGCCGCGCTAGCAAAACTCTCTCCGGTACTTGAAGCAGCCCATTTTGCATCAGTGATTGGTTAGTTTAACTTGAAAAGCCGTCTGCGATAGGCTGATGGAGTTTCAAACTTGTATATTTTTTGATAGTACGACCCTGAGCTAATCTTTAAGCGCTGGAAGCTGCAAATGGCAGTGGAAGAGAAAAAGTAAGTGGAAGCGAATTAATTCACTGATGGAAATCAGTGAAAGAGAAGGAAGTTTGTGAGAGAGAAGGAAGTCTGAGAGAGAAGGAAGTCTGAGAGAAAGAAGTCTGTAAGAGTAAAGGAAGTCTGTGAGAGAGAAGGAAGTCTGTGAAAGAGAAGGAACTCTGTGAAAGAGAGGGAAGTCTGTGAGAGAGAAATTAGTCTGTGAGAGAGAAGGAAGTCTGTGAAAGAGAAGGATGTCTGTGAAAGAGAAGGAAGTCTGTGAAAGAGCAGGAAGTCTGTGAAAGAGAAGGAAGTCTGTGAAAGAGAAGGAAGTCTGTGAAAGAGAAGGAAGTCTGTGAAAGAGAAGGAAGTCTGTGAAAGAGAAGGAAGTCTGTGAAAGA